GGCCTACTCGGGACGAGATTGCTACGACACAGCGTTCGTGCAAGCAGGATGCGCCACCGGGTGCTGTGATGAGCGATGACGCACTTACCGCGGACGGCAAGCTGTGGGTGCCGTCAAAGGCGAAAACGCTTTTAAAGCGCCTGCTCGTGATTGCTCACTGCGGTATGCAGGGCCACCGCGGTATTCACGTGATGGTCGAGCTACTGGATCGGCACTTCACGCTGTCAGGGACCCGGCAGGTGGTGATCAGTTTGATAAACGAGTGCCTGCTGTGCAAGCATGTTAAAGGCGGTGCCCTCATCCAACGCGACTGGACAGTCGACAGGTCAGCTGCCTCACGCAACGAGTGCATGCACATGGACTACTTGTACCTCGGCGAAAGCTATGGTGAGGCCAAAATACGTCCTTGTCCTAAAGGACGAGCTAACTCACTTCTGTGAGCTCGTTGCTGCTGACTCGGCTATTAGCCAGACGGCTGTGGCGGCGGTGCTGGACTGGCACAAGCGTTTTGGCATCCCATCGGTGTGGATGTCAGACAACGGCACACACTTCAAGTGCCTGGTGATGGAGGAACTCGCCGAGCGCCTCGGAGTATCCCATTCATTTGTTCTGGTGTACACACCTTGGATTAACGGGACAGTGGAGAGGGTCAACCGCGACATACGGCGAGTATTGAGGGTCATGCTGCTTGAGAACCAGCTTGACAGTCGCAACTGGGCCTACCTCCTACCTCTTGTCCAAGCCAATTTGAACCACAATCCGGTGCTTTAGCTGGGCAACTGCGCTCCGGTGGAACTGCTCACGGGGCTTCCAGCGCCGTCATTTTTGGATGTCGTGGTGTTGCCCGATGACAAGCTGCCTCGGACACTACCGCTGGAGAAGGAGTCTTTTGAGTGAGGAGCTACGCCGTAGCCCTCATGCCATGCATCGTGTGGTCCGAGACCAGCGAGAGCAACGCTGTACCGCGGCCATGGCTCGCTCCAACGGAACAGTGTGTAACTTCTCGAAAGCCGACTACGTGTTATGGTCGCGAGCTGACCAGCGGCTCCAAGATGGCAAGCTGTTGGTACGCTGGGTTGGCCCTTTCCAAGTGGTTAAGGCCTTCCCGCGTTCGTTTCTCATCCGCCATCTACTTACAGGAGCTGACTATGATGTACACGGGTAGCGGCTAAAGTTCTAGCACGATAAGGACCTCGAGGCGACTGCGGAGATCCGTGAGCACGTCTCGCTCCAAGGCATCGTGTTCAAAGTCCGTGAACTCGTCGATTGTCGGGTGAACGCTGCCTCCGGTGAGCTCGAGCTGCTGGTGGCATGGCGTGGGCTTAAAGACATTGAAAACGCTTGGGAGCCTGCCCGCTCAATCCGGCATGGTGTTCCGGCGCTGGTGGCCAAGTACGCAATGGACCTATTTAAAATATTTAAACCAAGCAGGACTGCAAGTATACTCAAGGGCGATGAGTCGCTTGGGGATGCCTTCGAGGCACTAAAGCTGAGCGCAATACCGATTCGCAAATACCACTTTATCGAGAAGAAAATGGTGGTTAACCTTTTATTAAGCCGGGACTTTAATCTTTGGTCCAAGCATGCCGCTGCGTTGAACAAGAAGGATCGATACGATACGATGTTTGAGGTGCTCACGAAAGCATTTGGCGAGAAAGACGTGGCGATAATGATTTTATTGGGCAAGTTTGGAGTACGGTACACCGGTATCAGACGACATTGCCAATCCCTGGCACCGCTCCTACCAGGCTGAACAGACTCGGTCAATGGCGAGCGAAGGAGCGTGCCCTGAGGACATCTAGGCAAGACGACGGAGGATAGTGAGCACAAGGCACGCGCCGGCAGCCAGGAGTGGCCGGCGGCGTACATTCGTGGAGCTCAAGCAGTGTCGCTAAAAAGCTGGAAAAGGCGCAGTTCAATAAGACGTACACCGTTGACCACTACAGAACAGCAGATGATGCTTTCAAGAGCGTGTTGAAAGCGGATCGAAACAATATTAATGGATACGGAGGGGAGAAGCTCATCTGGGAAGATTTACTCCAAGTACATTTTGAACAGAGTCAGAACATAATGCATAGTATCTTTAGGTACGTTTGCCGATAGCGCTCAAAATAAAGGTTACAAGAGAATCCGTATAGTATGTTATCTGCGATTGTTTTTTGTCAAGAACTCGAATAGTTGGCCTTCAACGATAATCTATAATAGACCACGGTAGTCGGAGCGTTTGGTTTGCTAACAGACACGACGTCTGCGGCTCCAAGTTTTGCGACGCCTGACCAGGAAGATATGTGTGAAAGAATTAAATTAGAGGAAATGACGAAGCTGTCGACGACGTGTGGATCGAATTAGTTAGGTGCTATTTGTACTCACTTTCACAATAGCAGAGCGTGATACAGTCTACCTAAGTAGTTAGGCAAATGGTGCTTACAAAGCCGTGTTTCACGAAGAAGCTCTGGATTACACTACTGCGTGCAGGACGGTTGCTTATCATTGTCTGTACAGTATTGTGCTGTGCGTCTGTAAGGAGCTTATTATAACATACTCGAAGGCCCTAAAAGGTACCTTTCAATTGTTCTTTACAAACTTTACAAGAATATTAGCACTTTTCAGTATACTCAAAGTGCCTGTACATGTCAATTTGTTCTGTATAATTCTTACGAGGATAATAGTTCCCATGCGCTCCTTATTGACGCATAATACTGTATACTACTTCTGCCGTCCTGTGTACCGTAGTAAACAAGCTGTAACGGGGTACGTAGCCCTAAGCGTACCCTTAGTTACATGAAGTGTGACACGTCATATTTCGGGATATTTGGTTCAAGGTACCAAGGTCGTCCAAGGCCAAACATTGGCTGATGACATTGTTTTTCTAAGGATGGCTTACAGTTTGTATTAAACCCAAGCTTTATCTACCTACAAATATACTCAGTTTACAATCTACCTTAAATTGGTCACTTCTCTCCCTTTACGCAAAAGGGGACCTGTGAAATGCCGCTCACTGAGAGTTTGTATACTCTCGGAAGCCAACTTCCTCTAGCGCAAGGTGCTGTGTGACCCCGTCTCACAAGCGATCACAAGAATGATATTGGCGGTATGGTATGTCATAGGCCGCATTACCAGCGCTCAGGGCTAGCTGATGTTGTTCGGACAACATTCACGCGGATTAAACTACTTCGGTTAGGCGTAATTTATAGTGATGTTACCCTTGGCCGCCACAAGCAACACTCAACTGGGTGACATAACGGGTACAGATGATATCAGGCATTGTACTTCTTTAAAAAAATGTGCGGTGTTAGATACAACCTGAAATGACAGGTTATGCAAGTTTAGAGAAGAAAACTCACTAAATTTGTGTAGTGGGCTTAGAGGTTGGATAGCCTCATACAGCTCGTGCAGTGGGCGGCTAGCCAATCTCTAGATCGGCAGTAGCAGGGTTGCCACTACCAACCTTCGAGTGAACGGCTGGTTGAGAGGCTTTCTGGTCCGAGCTAGCAGATAGCGTAGTAGAACAGAGAGAGTAACAGTTTGTGTTTTGCTTAATACACCGTGAAGGACGTGCCAGCTCCCCCATTTTTGTGTTTATTTGCGAGACCAACCACAAAGTTAGCTTTAGTAACCGGTTAAGCATGAAAAACGAAGCTAAAGGCAAAGCTGGATAGATAGCAGTGTCGCTTTTCGCTCCACTCGTGGCACCAATGATCGAGGGCACATCGCACGCAGCGCTAGTGAAATGGAAACGACGACGCAAGGAGTACGAGCAGGAAGTGGTCATTCGCTGCTGCCATGACCTTGAACAATCTCAGCTATGACGACAGACATCTGCAGCTCGCTCGAGCCGAGCTTGCTGGAGATTCTTAGCAACCTGGAGTGGGGAATTGACAAGGAGGATCTGACTAATGAGCTACTTCTGGGCCAGATCAACGCGATCCTCGCTACAGTGAAGAACAACACAGTGCCCAATGTTGCAACTGAGTTCAAGGCTGCCGTACGAATGAACATGCAGGAGACAGTTGTACGCGAGCGAGTAGTGCAATACTTTCGGTCTAGTCGCCAGATGATTGAAGAGCATGGCTGGTGCAAATTTTTTATTGACCAAGAAAGGTCTGAAGTTGAAGTGCAAATTGCTAATCGCGTCTCTTGCGCCTCATGCACTGCGGGAAAAGCTAGAGTCCGTTCTGACATATCCGAATCGGGCTGCGCATAGTGACGAAAAGGTACTTCAAGATCATGTTGGAGAGATCTCTTGAGCACGAAAGAGACTTTCAGCGCCGTAAGCGGCAACGCAGTTCGACTTGAACCGGGGGGGAAACTAGACAGTTAACGGAAAGTGAGTCGCTAAAAGAAGAAATTCAGGACAAAGGACAGTGACGAAGCGAAGCCTGTTCTGCAACAGCCACAGGGTACTGTGAGTAGAAAGCAAGGTCGGAACGTCCACCAGGGACCTTCAAAGCCAGGCGCTACAAATCCGATCGGTGGTTGCCTCACGTGTAAGGGGGGTCATTGGTTAGTGAAGTGCCCAGCTGCGACTCACGACGACAAGGTCGATCTATTGCGGCAGTAGCATGAGCGACGCAACCGTGAGAAGGCTGACCGCTAGAAGAACGCTCGCGACTGAAGTGCTAAGCGCATTAAAGAGTGCATCTCTGGGCCTGTAAAGCTAGCTGAGGTACAGAGTGCACTCGATGCCCTTTTTGTGGCGATTTAGGGGCAGATACAAGCGTCATCAGCAGAATAAAGCTCAGAGAGTTGATGACAAAGGATCCAGCGATGAAGCTGGAGAAATTGAAGGAGACGGTTGTAGTGAGGAAAGCTGGAGGACACATTATCCGAACCCACGATGGTGTTGATGTGAATTTGCGGATAAATACAGCTACAGGGCCTGTGTGACTTACAAAACCAGTGAAATGTTTGGTAATCGGCGAAAATGAAGAGGAATTTATCCTTGGGAATGATGTTTTGACTACGCTCGATATTGACGTGGACCGTCAATTTTGAACAGCAAAGTGCTTTACCAAGGCATCCTCCGTATCGCCGGATAATCCCTTTCGAAGGTAGGATATGCTGGCTAAAAGAAAAGAGAGCTCTTCCCTGGGCACGCGCTAGCGTCTCCTGGGTCGGTTGTGCTACCACATATTATCCACGCCTCGTTTCAGGAATATTAATCGCTTGTGGGAAGTGATACCACTGGCGATGAAGATCCTGCAAATTACAATGATGACTTTGAGATCGGTGTGGAATGTGACAGTGAGGTGAGAGTTGCAGTTGATGAAGTAGTGGATAAGGCGATTGATAAGGGGTTTCCACGCGAACGAAAAGATGATTTGCTGAGGATAACAGTGATGTTTGACATTTGGAGACTGAAACTCGGCGTTGACCCTTCGGCAAAGGTTCCACCGCTGCAAGAAAAGGTGTAGGTCGGTGCCAAACCGCAAAAGTGCCAGGCGAGGCAGAATCTGCCGCACTTAAGAGAATTTCTGATAGACTTTAACACTGACCTCCAGCGTATGGGGCGGGTTTATAAAAACCCACAGAGCCGATGGGCCGGTCCAGCACTACCATGGAGGAAGCCCGGCTCTGACGAATACCGGCAGACCAAGGACTACCGTGCAGTGAATGCTGACACGGAAGCTGCGCCGGGTGTGATGCCGATTCTTCGTGTCATTACGGAGCACGTACGTGACATGGGTCCTTTCGACTTGGCTGACTTGCTATAACGTTTTTGGGAGCTCCCTTTGGCAGAGCAGGGTATAGGATGTCTTTCATACATGAATGAGGGTTTGATCGCTGCTGACTATTAGATGTCAAGAGGCACTATATCCTACTAGCTGCGATATGACGACGTGTACTGTACTTGTATATCACAGGCGCCACGTGGCTGTTGTACACAACTTTCACCCAACTTCAACCACTTGACCAACACTCTTCATCATTTGACACGGCCGCCGTTCATTTCACACATATCGATTCTCCAGTCGTCATTGTTAACGGGTTTCGTTGAGGGGAGTCAACGTAGCGACATTGGGCTGTATATATCTTTGCAAACTCCATTATTATTAGTATTGGATGAAAGATTGAGCTACGTCATTCGCGTA